CTCACGGTGGTCTTCCCAATACGTATCTCTTCTTCCAGTCTATGTTCTCTCTTAGGAGGGAAAAAGCTTAATTTTGTTATACAAAAGGCAAGATCAGAGCTCACAGGGCCCTGCCCCACGCTGGCAAACACACGGACATGCTGGAAAAGATGCAGCCAGGGCCCGTGGCCACCTCAGTATCAAAGTTATAAAAGCGTCCATCCTCAGAGGCACCGTGCGTGCACCCGCTGGTCCCAGAGAAGAACTGAAAGGGGCAGCTGTATCTCCTGACCTCCTGAATGCAGCCGTTTCTCAGTTCTGAATCCTGTGATGGGTTTTGTTGGTGGTGGTGGTGTTTTTCGAGGATTGGGAGCAGCCCTTTTTAAAGCTGGTTTGGACAAAAACGTACATGTGGATAAAGATGCACTTATCCCTATTTTCAACTCAAACCTTGGGATTTATCTGTATTGTTTAGTCTAATCAAAATTTATGGTTTAACAAGTCATCAGCATGAGAGCTACTTTCCTCTGGAGCTGTTTGTTAGATATTTGGGGGGACCAGCTATCCTGATTTGCCAGGATTCTCCCACTTTTAGAACCAGAAGTCCTGAGTCTGAACCAGAAGGGGCACGGAAACCCCTTGACCTTGGGCAAGTCAGGACAGTTTGTTGCCCCTGCCAGCCTTAGGTTTGGACTGCAGATGTGCATTGCTGGAGTGTCTAGAAGTGAATCGAAAATGTTGGAAAATTTAAAATCTCCACCAAAGATTTCTAGCCACCTTCTACTGCATAGAAGATTTTCAAAGGGGTTTCTTACTTTGTGGGGATGATCTAACTAATATATGGAGAAGAGTAAAACCATACCCCGAAATTGGCTATGATAAACACCACTACGGTGAAGGTCTGAGATATTATGTTATTTTCCCTCCAATTTCCACATTTTAAAGCCTAATAAATAACACAGTAATGTGACAGGCAGACATAACAACATAAAATAAAAAATCTCACATTTCTTTGGTTCTAGTCAAAGACCCATGGAAACTGTGCCCTGTGGGCAAACAGCCCAGAGTTGGAAATAGGCAAAAGCCCCACTTTCTCCAGAGGGCACACCTACAGGACCAGAAAGTCTGGCCAAGAGACGGGCCGCTGGACTTCAACCTGTCCACCTGACCCAATGCTGAGCCCTCCAAGCAAACCAAAAGTCTCAGTACCCAGACCTAGCTAATGAGAATGGTGCTGTTGGGACAAAATTGGCTCCATCCACCTCAGAACCCCAAATACTCTGGTCCTGTTTTCTGCTACTCGAAGCATTTCTACCTTTATGAAGAACTCATTTCTTCTACTTTATAGTAGGCAAAATAATAGCCTTTGAATATATCCATGTCCTAACCTTTGGAACCTGCAGACATATAACCTCACTTGAATAAAGGGACTTGGAAGATGTGACTGAACTAAGGGCCCTGTGATGGGGAGAGTAGCCTGGTTTATCCAGGTGTGTCTGATCTTATCCCACGGACCTTAAAAATCTGAGAACCTTTCCTGGCTGAGTTCTGAGTTGGAAGGAAAGGTGACTGTGGTAGGACGACCCACAGAAATGCGGGTTTCAGGCTTTGAAGGGGGAGGAAGGGGCCTCTAGAAGCTGTAAAAGGCAAGGATATGAATCCCTTGATTCACAGGCCCCCAGAAAAGAATGCAGCCCTACTGGTACTTTGCTTTTTGGGCAGCAGGACTGCTACAGAACTATCTGACAATGGTTGTGCGTTGTTTTAAGCCACTGAGTTTGTGATAATTTGTCACAGCAGCAAGAGGAAACTAATACACCTTTCAAGGCTGCTGCTTCTTATGTGTGGGATGCCTTAGGAGTATTTTGCTTCAAATCTCAATATTCGACCAAGTGTTTAATTTTCTTCTTGGCATATACTTAATAAATTTAGTACTGCACATAGACCAAAAGCACGTATGCTCAAAATCCCTCTGACAGTATAAACCAGGCGTCCTCAAACTGCAGCCTGCCAAGGACATTTATCCAGCCCGCCAGGTGATTTTGCTGCTGCTGCCTGTCCTACTTAGCAGCCGACTGGTCCCGGGGCCCACAGTCCAGCCCTCCAACAGTCTGAGGGACAGCGAACTGGCCCCCTGTTTAAAAAGACCCCTGGTATAAACTATACTTCCTTTTACTTGTCCGCTCTGGTTAGTTTCTTATTACGGAGACTACTTACAGACGGAGGCACGAAGCTTAGCTGAAACCAGTGACTTTGTATGAAGGAAAAATGCTTTTAGGTGAGAGTAGAAAAGGCCAAACACCCTTTTTAAGGCTGTGTGCTGAGACCAGGTGGATCTCAGTGCCTCGCTAGGGTGTCTGAACATTGTAGCAGCTGGAAGATGCCACTGGCCTTTTGTGGGCCAAGAACAGGGACACCCAAGAGCACAATGAAGAACTGTCTCAGCAACACCCATCGAGAACTCTGTTCAGACTGATCTGCAGAGTTCAAGAACATTTACTCGTGTGAAAGAAATTGACACAAACACTAGACAAAGAACATCAGACGCCTGCAAGATAGTCTTTGTCATTAGTGATATCTGGTAGGATGTAGGGACATCTCAGCCCTCACCTGAAAGATGTTAGATCCTTAAATCCAGAGGAACCTGATCATAGGGTAGGAGAAGCCCTGTAGCACATGGTCTTAAGCACACACACAAAAAGGCCTTTCTTCTAATAAGCTCCAGGCCAGAGATTCTCAGCCCTGGCTGCAAACTAGAATCACCGGGGAGCTTTTGGACCGTACTGCAGATGGCAGGCTCCTCATCTGGGGATCTGATTCAGGGTTCTGGGTGGGGCATTTGCATCAGTTTTTCTAAATGCTTCCCTGGACACGCTGCTGGGCACCCAGGACCCTGCTCTGTCCAGTAGTCACACCCACATGGGCATGGCCACTCTACAGATGTGAATCAGTTCTTCTTTGCCTGTGTCTGTCGCCCAGTTACCACCCCTGCCCATCTAATCTTCCAGAAGAGAGATCCCAGAGGTATTCTAGGCCACTTCCCCTCCTTCATTCTCACCTTAGACAGCAATGCCATCAACTGTCCCAATCCAGCCCAGCACCTCCAGACCCATTAGTCTCCCTTCTGTGTTTCTGCACTTGACCCAGATGCTGAGGAGTCATCCCCTCAAAGCAAGCTCTGACCGTGCCTTTCCGCCTCCCTGCCCAGCCAGTGAACCCAACTCCTGAGTGCAGCCCTCAGGGTCCCTCTGAGCTTTGCCAGCCTTCCATCTCTGCAGCCTATGGCTTCCTAGCCACACCCGGACCACTCGAAATCTCAAAGGCTCCTGGAATGCCCCGTGCCTCTGTGGGCGTCTGTGTCCCATCACACGTGACTCCTTATTACTGGAATGCCTCTGCCTGCTTCTCTGACCAATGCCACCTCACATCACAGCTCAAACTCTCCTTAGGCCATCAAGCTGCTCACCATCATCCCCAAGTCAACCCTCTCTTCCCCCGCACCCACTCCTTCCTCTGATTGACGCCGACCATGACTTCCTCACAAGCTGAGCTCCTCTGCACAGCTCCAGGGCACGGCTTGTGTGTCTCCACCCGGCTACTCCCAGCGTCTGGGTTCACCCTGCTGTTTCCTGATGCCGCGGTTTTACTGAATGTGCAACAAGTGTCACACTCTTCCCCAGATGTGGGGGCAAACAGTTAGCAAGCCAGGTACTATCCCGGTCCTCAGAGGGAGGCGAGT